TTTCTATGAAGCCACAATTAGCTATAGGGAGGATTTGGATCTTCCTGATTTAGTGTAATAAGGTTTACTTGTTATATCATAGATTAGGTTGACGACTAATTCACATGACCGATAACATTACAAAATTGACAATATAAAAAAGTTTATCTATTTATATAACAAGATGTTAAGTAAAAATGTCTATTTTATTATTTAATAATAACCAAGTCTTCTTTCTCATTTTTTTCTTTTTCAAATTAAAAAGAAAATTAATAATTTAATTTATTAAAAATAATAAAAATAAGTTTCTTTTCCGAAAAACCATGTCTAATAAATTTAATAATAATAATGATTACTTTTCAACACTTAAAATTCTTCTTGTTGGTAACTCAAACGTAGGGAAATCGTCTCTTCTATTAAGATTTACTGATGACACATTTTTGCCACATGAAGAAGTATCAGCAACAATAGGTAATTATAAAACAAATTAAATAGAAAATTATTTATTAATCAATTACATATAAGATACTTAAATGATTATATAAATAGGGGTAGATTTTAAAGTACATAAAATGGTTGTAGACGAAAAGAAATATAAATTAACAATTTGGGTATTTGTTTTATTAAAATATTTTTAAGTAGAATTTGATTGTTTTGTCGAGAAGATTTTGTTTTTCTATGTTTAAATGACATTATATTATTAATATTAATTTTAGGATACTGCAGGTCAGGAACGTTTTAGAACATTAACATCTTCATATTATCGTGGTGCTCAAGGTATTATATTTGGTATGTGATAGATAATAACGTATATATATATGTTATATTTGTGTGCATAATTTTAATTATTTAATGGCATTAATATTTTCTTTTTTTCTAGTATATGATGTATCAATTCGTGAGACATTTGATCAATTGGATAATTGGTTTGATGAATTAAATACCTATTGTTCAAATGAAAATATAGCGAAAATTATAATTGGTAATAAAATAGATAAGGTAAAAATAGCCAAGTAATTAATTATTAATCATTACTTTGATTATGTATGGTAGTTTATTTTATTTTAATATTTTATATCCATTTTTGAATTTTGAATTATGATTTTAGGGGACTGAAAGAGCAATTTCACGTAAAGAAGGTGAAGCATATGCAAGAAAATTACAAACTTTATATACAGAATGTAGTGCTAAAACAAAATATGGTGTGGAAGAAGCATTTGCTGAACTTGTTAGAAAGGTTGTTATAATTATAATTATTATTAATTACATGGAATAGCTATAATTAATCATTTTTATACTATCATACCAATAATGATTTTTTAGATTATTGAAGATCCAACTGTAGTGCAGAAAAAAATTGACAAAACAATTAATAATAATGTTAATATATTTTCACATGACAAACAAAAATCAAATAATAATAATTGTTCATGCTAAATTTTTTTGGACTTATTCAATTTTTTTTTAAAAAGAAAAAATGATTATATAGCATTATAATACTTTCTACTTTATTTATATATCAATCTATCATTGTCATTATCAACAATCACATATTTATAATCACACATTCCTACTTTTTTATAAAAGTAGGGTTGTAAAGATTACACACAAAGAGATCATAGCATTGTAAGGCAACATCCAAAGAATTATTTTTTTGCATGGTTTTCCTATATATATATATTCATTATATTGTTATTTTTTTGAGTTAGAAAAATGACGTTTTTATTTTTATTTTTGTAATTATTTAATTCATTTTGATTTTTTGTATTATATATATAATAATAATTATTATTACATTATATATAATAAAATAATATATATAGTATAATAATAATAAAAATAAAAACAAAAAAAGACATTTATTTAATAATATATTGATACAAATTTTTTTTTATATCATTATTAGGTTCAATACCATTTTCTAACATTTATCATAAATTTTTTTTGCTTTTTCATTTTCTCTAATACTAATATTGCCTTTAAATAAAGATGTATAAGTATGTATATTTGACTTTACATTACATGTAGATCGCGTGAAATGTCATCTGACTGATATGCAAAAATCATTAGAAATATTTCAAGCAATGTTAAAATACAAAATCAAACCAAATACTATAATATTCACAAAATCAATAGAGGGTTTTGCTAATTTGGGTAAATTAGAAAATTCTTTAAAGATGTTTAATTTAATGAAATCATGTCTACTGTAATAACTACAATGTGGATCATCTATACTCAAAAGTTAAAATTTTTGAAGTATTATGTGATCCACACATTGAAATTTAAAAAACTTATCACCATTCAATTCAGCTTTAAAAGGGGAGTCTATTAATCTAAAAAAAAAAATTTGTCTCAAATTTTCTTTTCATAGATTTTTTAAATTTGAAAGTTATGCTTTGTAGACATTTATTATATTAAGGTTTTTTGATTATATCAAGAGATATGGTCAAGAGAAGAGTTAGGAATAGAGTTATTCTTCACCAAGTCAAAAACCGACCCTTTAAATACATTTTTGAGTAGTACAATTTAATTTATTAGACTATTTCAAAGGTTTGCTTCCAACTTCTTAGATTCAAACCATTTGTTATTTGTTAATGAAACAATTGTTGATGAAGTGATTGTTGGCAAAATGAATCAAACCAACATTTATTTTTACATTATCAAATTCATGATTTTAATCTTAATAGAATCATTTAAAGGATGAAACCTTGTTACTAATATGAATATTTATATTACTATTTTTGTAACCAGTTACAATCTCTATACAGATGATATTCTAAACAGGACAATGACTGAGACACCATTGATACATTTCGCATTTTTAGGAAAAAGTGACATGTATTTCTAGGTACATTATAATCTAATTTTAATCCATTATATAACTAGTACAAATTTAGATGTAATATGAACATTTACATTAGGGGTGTTCAAAGTTGTTCCGTTCCTGTTCCTGTTCCTTGTTGTACAATACCTTATTAGGTAATGGAAATA